AGGACAAGTGCCCCGTGTCATCTAGACAACTCGGGTAAAGATGCAGCAGTTGGAAGCCAAAACGTATTGGCGCCAAAGCACTGATGCGCAGCGTCTCGAAAACAGGTGGGTGCGACTGGGTGGCACTCGTGCCATCTGGAGGGCTGATTCGAGCTGCCTTCAAGAAGGCACTTTCTATGTGAATATACAAACGCTTCCGAGCGTCACTTTGCAATTTGCGGCGTCGCACACCAACCACCAACTGCGATGGGGTTCCAGCTCACCAAGGTCGTCCATGTCTTCGCGCTCCTCTGCGTCATCAACCTCCTCAACTACCTCGACCGCGGTATCATCCCCGGTGCGCCGATCGAGTTCCAAGGCTTCATCCAGCGCACGCACAATGTCTCGTCCGACAGTGTCAGCGTCTACATTGGCCTCCTCCAGTCGTCCTTCATTGCGTCGTACTCGATCTTCATCTGCATCTTTGGCTACCTCTCGATGACGCGCAAGCCGTTCACGCTCTCGGCCATCGGTCTCTTCATCTGGGTGCTCTCGATCGTGCTCTGCGGTCTCGCCAAGCCGCTCGCGTCGTTCTGGGTCCTCCTCGTCGGTCGCCTCATTTCCGGCATTGGCGAGTCGTCGTTCCAGGCGACGACGCCGCCGTTCATCGATGAGTTTGCGCCCAAGGAAAAGCGCACGCTTTGGCTCGGCATCTTTTACGCCGCCGTCTCGGTCGGCCAAGCGCTTGGCTTCTCGTACGGTTCGGTCATGGCCTCGACCGCGGGCTGGGACATTGGCTACTACATCACGGCAGCGCTCATGCTGCCGCTCGCGTACGCATGCTACAAGTTCATTCCTGATCACCTCAACATGCCGCTCGCCAACCACGCGCCCAAGGACCTCGACGACGGCTTTGCCGACGCCAACGACGTGCTTCCGATCGAAGAAACCGAGATGCCCAAGTCGGTCCTCACGGAGACCTGGACGATTCTCAAGTCGCCGCTCTTTCTCACGTCGACGCTCGGCCTCGCCGCGTACACGTTTACGCTCGCGGGGATGGTGTCGTTCGCGCCGGCGATCCTTATTGGCTATGGTCTCTTGAGCGAGTCGATCGCGTCGACAGTGTTTGGCGCGCTCGTCGTGCTCGCGGGTCTCATCGGGTCGCCCTGCGGCGGCTACGCCATCGATCGCCTCTGCCGCTCGAACATGAACGACAAGAACTTCCGCATGCAGCGCTCGGCCTTGTACATGTTTGTCGTGATGACGATCGGCGTCGCGCTCCTCTTTTGCTCGCTCCTCTTCATGAACTCCAAGATCGTCTTCCTCATCTTCCTCTTCCTGGGCCTCCTCCTCATCTTCTCGACGCAAACTGCGACAACAATCGTCGTCCTCATGAGCGTCACGCGCTCCCAGCGCGGCTACGCCATGGGCCTCAACACGCTCCTTCTCCATCTTTTTGGCGATGTGCCCGCGGCACTTGTGCTCGGTGCGCTCAAGGACAGCTGGGCGCCGCACTGCGGTAGCAGTATCGACGAGACGGGCAAGGATGTGCTCGACCCCAACTGCTACATGGACAAGGACGGCCTTCGCAACACGCTTGCGTTTGCGTACGGCTGGCTCGTTTGGGCCGTGCTGCTCTGGGGTGCGTCCTACTATTTCGCGTGCAAGCGCGTCAAGCAGGCGGGAATCGCAAGCGATCTCGAGCTCCAGAAGACGCCCGTGCACGCCGCGAGCGACTAAGCCACCCTTCGTAGTCTCTGTAAACGTCCTTCTAATTAGTTTTTTAGTCTTGTTCTTTGTCTCGATGCCGCACCCCAGTCGGAACCATAGTTGTTTTGTAAGCAGCGTCTGAGCAATAATTGCGATGCTCTAGCGACCAAGTCGGCCAACGTCGGAGGCGCCTGTACGATGCCAACTCTTCGCAATTCGATGGTGCGCGACGGGCATTGCACTGCTGCGACGGCCTGCCGCGACAAGCGCCAATGTTGGGTACCAAGCCGACCATAATGCCAAGTCGAGCCCCCGTCGTGCTGCTACTACTGTTATAAGAACAAAATAACTTGACCACCTCGCGCCGCTCGACCACCAGCGGTTCTACCAACGGTGTACCAGTACGGCGTAGTACGACTCGAGAGCCAACACGATGCAAGCGCGCAAGATGGAAAGGGGCTGTCGTTGCCAAATGGCGTCCAAGAACGGTCCAAAGATACTTGTGCGTTTTCCGAGAATGGTCCGCCGCAAAAACCATCAACGATCCGTCCGATACTGCTGCACAGCCCGTAGCATCATAGTAGTGTCGTCTCGACGCCGCGACGCAACGGTTCTTCAATCGCGGCCACAACGCGAGCTCATATAGGTAGAGGCTATGTCGTGTCCGGCGACCATCCATCGACACTCGGGTGACCACAACAAGTCGTAACACCGCATGCCACCGACTATACGACGCATTTCCACCCGCCAAGGTTTACATTTTGAAAGAAAACGAGCCGCGCGCAATGGCCTTTGCGCTCACCAGCGTCAAGCACGTCTTTGCGCTCCTCTGCGCAATCAACCTCCTCAACTACATTGACCGCGGTATCATCCCCGGCGCGCCGATCCAGTTTCAAGCGTTCGTTCAGACGACGCACCATGTCGACTCGAGCAACGTCAGTGTCTACATTGGCCTCCTTCAGTCCATCTTTATCGCATCGTACTCGATCTTCATCTGCGTCTTTGGCTACATGTCGATGACGCGCAAGCCGTTCCAACTCGCAGCGATCGGTCTCTTTGTCTGGGTGCTCTCGATTGTCCTCTGCGGCCTCGCCAAGCCGCTCGATAGCTTTTACGTGCTGCTATTTGGCCGGCTCATTTCGGGCATTGGCGAGTCGTCATTCCATGCGACAGCGCCGCCGTTCATTGACGAGTTTGCGCCGCCAGCAAAGCGGACACTCTGGATGGGCTTCTTCTTTGCCGCCGTCTCGGTCGGCCAAGCACTCGGCTTCTCGTACGGCTCGGTGACCGCGCGCACGATTGGGTGGGACGTCGGCTACTACATCACGGCCGCGCTCATGGTGCCGCTCGCGTACGCGTGCTACGCTTGGATCCCGGACCACTGGAACCAACCGCTCGCGGTCGAATCGGCCTCGACGACCCAGTACGACGACGACGATGACGACGATGTGGCACACCGCCCCGAGAACACGACGTTTCTGCGCGAAACGTGGATGTTGCTCAAGAGCCCTGTCTTCATGTGCTCAGCGATGGGTCTCGCTGCGTACAACTTTACGCTCAGCGGCATGGTGTCGTTCGCACCGGCAATCCTCATTGGCTACGGTCTCTTGAGCGAGTCGATCGCATCGACGGCGTTTGGCGGTCTCGTCGTCATCGCGGGTTTGATTGGCGCGCCGACCGGCGGCCTCATCCTGGATCGCATGTGCCGCGGCCACGAGCTAGAAAAAACGTACCGCCTCAAGCAAGCGTCCAAGCTCATGTTTGGCCTGATGACGTCCGGCGTCGTCTTCCTCTTCCTCTCGCTGGCATTCATGGGCTCCAAGATTCTCTTCTTCGTCTTCCTCTTTGTCGGGCTGCTCCTCGTCTTCTCGACCCAAACCGCGACGACGATTGCGATCCTCATGAGCGTCACGCGCTCCCAGCGCGGGTACTCGATGGGCCTCAACACGCTCCTTCTGCATCTCTTTGGCGATGTCCCCGCCGCCGTTATCCTCGGCGCACTCAAGGACATGTGGGCGCCGCGCTGCGGTAGCAAGATTGACGCGAACGGCAAGGACATTCTCGACCCGAATTGTCACTTGGACAAGGACGGTCTGCGCTACACGCTCTCGTTTGCCTACGGCTGGCTGCTGTGGTGCGTTTTGCTCTGGGGTGCTGCCACGTTTTACGCGTGCAAGCGCCATCGCAACGCCAAGGGCCACTACCGACTGCAGTCGACGCCGATCGCCGCCGACAAAGACATTGCTGCGTAGTAGTACTAACTGTACATTACATAAACCTCAAAGCACAAGAAGAGTAACACCATGGCATCGTACTCCTACTACTGTGCTTTCAACGTGCATTCGTTGATCACGTTTTCGTGTCTACAAGGAGGCGCTAAAAACGAGGCGCATGCAGGCCCAGATGGCACGGGCTTGAGCCGGCGTTATCACGGTCCGTGCGGCGCTTTGCCTCGTATTTCCTTGCTCGCGGCATTCATCCTTGGTTGTGCTTTTGCGTGGTGTCATCTCCAATACTCCAATGCCGCGCGCAATTGAAATAAATCGACACGGAAGGCAGCCACGTCAACTTCAAAGATAGGGGCAGTTTCCCAGATCGTTCCGGGCACCAGCTGCTTTGGTGTAATGTCTGAATGGTTGAGATATGGATGCCCATCTGAGCAGACACATGGATGGTTCAAGCAGCAGCAGTGAGCCAGCGCACGGTGTGCTGACGCACGGTTTCCGCCACTTTGGTTTCGTTCATTCTCGTTAGGTGCTG